GTTCCGTTGGAGCAGCCTTTCAACGCCTCTCTCTGTCTCTCGCTAGCAAAGTTGACCCAGACAACAAAGTAAAGCTAGTTTTCGGCTATGAGCGCAACACGGAACCGTATTAGTCAGAGGTCCCTTTACTACAGTTCGGAGCCGCGGACCTTCAGTAATAGGAATAAATCACAGCAATAGTACATTCATGTAGTTGTAAAATGCATGATAATATGTTAAGTAATCCAAAGTATTCAGAATACGTTACTGTCATTGAGTAACGTAACGGAATACGTTACAGAATACATTTTGGGGCATGTATTCTGTATTCTGTAATGGAATACATTTTAAAAGTAACCTTCCCAACACTGCTAAAGGGCACGACAAGATAGTCGATGAGAGAGATGAGTGGAAAACTGCTTTTAACACCCACCTCAGCCACTTTGATTAAGACCAGATGATAAGCTTTTTGTAGATTGAGCTTTAAAAAAATGTGGCTCCTTGCAGCATTTCCAAAGAGGATGAGAAAAGCTCCTGCAGTTGTTGCATGATTAAATCTCCTGTAGCAATGGGCCAGACACCCTATACTTCCGAAGCACTTCCCATAGAATACCCCGAGGGACCGGGGTGTTCCTTCTTCAAGTCCACAAAATACATGTAGAATGGTTGGGCAAACTCCCATGCACCCTTAAGTATCATGGAGAGGGTAAATAGCTGGTGCAGTGTTCCACACCCTGCAGAAAACGGCATTGTTCCTTCTGAATCCAAGGTTTGACTAACGCACGGGCTCTCCTTTCCAGCACCCTGACATAGATTTTCCTGGGGAGGCTGTGATACACTACAGCAGGCGCATACCTTCTGGTCCCTCTTCTTAAAGATAGATACAACCCCGGTATGTCAGTTCAGAGGTACTGTCTCTGATCTCCACACAGCATTGTAAAGGCATGTCAACCAAGACAGCCCCACAACATCCAGAGCCTTCAGGAACTCAGACACAAAAACATCATCCACCCTGGGGCCTTGCCTCCAAGGAGTTGTTTAAGTGCCTCAATGACTTCACCCACGGTGATTGATGAGTCGTCCCTCTCATCCCCAGACTCTGGTTCCTCTACAGTAGACATGCCAGTGGGATTAACGAGGTCCTTGAAGTGTGTGTGAGTGTATACACACACACACACACACACACGCACGCACGCACGCACGCACACACGCACACACATACACATACATACATACATACATACATACATATACACACACACACACACACGTAGATATACATATTTAGTATACACATTCAGTAATTGCATACACTCTTATATTGTACATATATTTATTCATATATCAGATTAGCCATTCTTATATTTTGTTGTTATTATGGTTATTGTATTTTTGCACACCTCTGTTGCTTGTGAAGCTCGCACACAAGAATTTCACTCGACATGTACTGTACCAGTGTACCTGCACATGTGATGTGACAATAAAAGTGATTTGATTTGATGTGTACATGTATATATTGGTTTGTTGTATATGTCTGAAATAAAGATATAATAATACTAATATTACTCATTGAACAGGATATTTCTAACTTTAGAGATGTTGCGCAAATGGAAGAAAGCAGTCTTACATATTTGTTTAATATGTGCATTGAAGGACATGTCCTGGTCAAAAATGACTCCAAGGTTCCTCACAGCGTTACTGGAGGCCAAGGTAATGCCATCCAGAGTAAGAATCTGGTTAGATACCATATTTCTAAGATTTTCAGGGCCGAGTACAATAACCTCAGTTTGATCTGAATTAAGAAGCAGAAAGTTAGCGGCCATCCAGGTCTTTATGTCTTTAAGACATTCCTGCAGTTTAACTAATTGGTGTGTGTTATCTGGCTTCATGGACAGATAGAGCTGGGTGTCATCTGCATAGCAGTGAAAATGTATAGCTATGTCTTCTAATGATGCTGCCTAAGGGAAGCATGTATAATGTAAACAGAATTGGTCCTAGCACTGAACCCTGTGGAACTCCATAATTGAGACTCCATCACTATTTTCTCCTCCACACACCTTTTCTGCTTTTACCTCATTTTGTTTTCATCGTTTTTCCTATTTTCTTACTTTTTTTTTTTTTGCTTGAATTACTTGCACTCTTAGTGTTTCCTAATATGCTGCTCAAATGTGAGACTAATTATTACCACATAATTTGATAAATATATAGTATTTTATTTTATTTTATTTTATTTTATTTTATTCTATTCTGTACAGTTGTGTACTGTATTTATTCTTATTGTATTCTAATTTTTGCCTCATAACTTTTGCACTGTCCACTTCCTGCTGTGACAAAACAAATTTCCCACGTGTGGGACTAATAAAGGTTATCTTATCTTATCTTATCTTAAATATCAAAGGCAGATTTTAGATCACCGTGTAGCACTCCTTTTTGGTAAGCTGAGTTCAATTCACTGGCCAGGCCCAGGCCTGATTAATGCCAGAATGGCTGAATCAAGAAATCACCTAAATAGAAACTGCCTGACAAAGTGAACGGCATCTATGGGAGAGTTCCAAAGTGAAAACCACCCCCGCAGATCAAAAAGAACACAAAGTCTTAGCTGGCATTTACAAAAAAACTCAAGACTATTGGGAAAATATTCTTTGAACTGATGAGAAATTTTTTTTTTGGAAAGTTTGAATCCCATTACACGTGATGTAAAATTAACACAGGCATTTTATTTAAAAAAAAAACAAAAAAAACAACAACTTCCTATTAGTAGTTAAACATGGTGGTGGTAGTGTAGTGGTTTGCTGCTTTGCTGCCTTAGGACCTAGACAACTTATCTGAATTGATGGAACCATGAATTCTGCTACCAGACAATCATGAATGAGAATATCCAGCCATGAGTTTGTGCCCTGATGTTCAAACACACTTGGGTTAACAAGCGGGATAATAATTCAAAACAGACAAGCAAGCCCACCTCTGAGTGGCAAGAAAAAGGAAAAAAGTTTTGGGCTGGTTTCAATCCCAATTCCAGATTAAAACATATTAAACATATTAAAATAAAAGAATGGCTAATTGAGGGAGAATTAACATGGACACCCAATCTAGGGCCTCCCTCCTTCTCCTTCCAGGACGGCGAGATGTGTGGCCTTAGGTCCTCAGTACTATTGTGGGCTGCGGATGGACCGGTTTTCCTAGACTTACACTTTACACTCTCTCTATTTCTCTCTCTTACACTCACACAAACACCCACCCACCCACCCACCCACACACACACACACACAGCAAAAACGTACTTCACTATCTATCTATCTATCTATCTATCTATCTATCTATCTATCTATCTATCTATCTATCTATCTATCTATCTATCTGTCTGTCTGTCTGGTCTCTGGACTCTTGATGAATATGGGCCTAATTTCTGTTTTCGCTGTAATTCTGTGTTTGTGTCCCAGGAACATCCTCTCTACGTACACCTAAACCTTTGGGTGTTCATAGTTCTTCAGCAGTTGGCCTCTGTGCATGACTGATGTCTCAGTGCAATTTTTACTCTTTTTCATTAAAATAGATTTAAGTTTTTATTTGTTAATCCAAATAATCCATAATAAAGTTGAAGTTGTGGGCTTTAAAAATCAAAACAATGACTTAAAGAACACAAGTGCATTGCACAGAGCCTAAGGGAACTGCAGAGCAACATTATAACTCTCTGAGGAGCTGTGCTGTGACAATCTGATCCTTCTCTATTATAAAAATATTACAGAAATATCTAATGACTGGAAGTGATGACAGAAAACTTTCTCAGCTAAGAAACTTTTCAACTGAGATTGCATCACATGTTGATTTGTGAGACTGCATCATGTGTTTATCCTGAAGCTTGTTTTCTTCACACCTCTGATTGCAGCGACACCTCAGAGGCGAGATAGCATTATCTGATACTCACCCATGCGGGTGTGAAGTATGTCTTGAGGGTTTCATTGCACGGCCATTAGGAGCAGCTAATGGGCTATGAAACATTCTTCATGGAGCCACAGGTTAAGTCTTATGGGAACTTGTGAGTGTTTGTGTTTCAGGTCTGCTAATGGCCATAGAACACAGGCAAGTGTCACAGGTACTGAAGTAAAAGTTAACACTCATCTATTAGTTTTTATTTAGCTGGGCTCATTAAGACTGCACAAACAAGTCCACACAGAATTCACTTTAACTCCTCTTTTGTCTCAAGTTTTTTGTTTTTCTTCTAAAAGTTTGTACCAAAGACCCAACACAGTCAGTGTGTCTTAGACTAGAGATTCCCCCATATGTGACCTGTTGTTACTCTTTATTCAGCAGCTGCTTGTATTTTTCATGCATTCTTGTGACTTCATAAATATTTTTCTGTGGCCCTGCAAAGAAACTGAATGACAGACTCCAGTGTCAATCTGTCGAGGCAAGCAGCACTTGTCTAGTGAAGTCTAAAAATAGACATCAATTAAAAAGTAACAAAGGGCAACCAATCTCTGTCCTTTCATCACAAACAGTGTTCATATCAGACCATGTGGCCTGTTTGAGTCCACCCTTTAAAATACTGCCATCTTGTGTCTGGAAGCGGGGTTAAGTCTGCTTTACTAATATTCTATCAGAATCTCCGTGAGGCCTGTGCTGTCAGGGTATGTCTGTGTCCCATTAGCCAAGATTTGAGCTAGTCAAGCCAAGCTGTTTCTGGTTGTTTGTGCATGTACAATATGAATAAACCTCCGATCTTGCACAGGAAACTGACAAGCTGCTACTGGCTGATAGCAAGTAAACAAGCTTCTGTGATTCATTGTGGTAATAGATCAGTTTCCTCTTACTGACCAACATGTGTGATATTAAGTGAGGCTGTTAGAGTATAGTGTGAACACATTTTTATATGAACTTCTTTGCAATGTTAGCAAGGACACAGTTGATGATGGAGAGATCTTCCATGTCCAGTTTGATACAACAGACAAGTTTAATTAAAGCTAAACAGGTGTCAGGGTTTCTGGGTCGTTGACCCAGTATTTTCAGTTCACATTCACTGTTTATCTACTGCCTGTTCCACTTCCTGTTTTATTGTGTTAGCCTTGGTCTGTGTGCATTATGTTCAGTCCTCTTCCCATTTATCATTAGTTCATTATGTTTAGCTGTTCACTCACCTGTCTCCAATCGTTGTCATTGTTAGTCATGTATTTAAGCCCTCTCTTCCCTTCAGCCCTTGTCGTGTCATGGATGTTGTTCCTGTCGCGTGTTAAGTTCAGTCAGCCAGTTAGTCTACCAGTCCATTAAGTTCAGCCAGCCATCCTGTCATCTTTTGTCTCCGTTTCCAATAAACCTCATTCTGCACCAAGAGTCCTGCGTGTGGGTCATCTCTTGCTCGCCTCCGCACACGACCCCTGACAGCAGGTTCAGACTCCACCAGCACTTTAATTTCTCTGAGAGATTTGTTGGTTCACCAAATGTACGGATTAACCACCTTTAAAATTTTAGTCCTCCTGTATTCGCAATTAACCATGTCAAACAATGTTCAAGCCTTTTAGTCACATATTTTGATTTTTTTGTCTTACAATCAACATTTAGGCCTGTGTTTCTGAGCTTGAAGGATATTATTTAGAGTTATGTGGTCTTGAGCCACTTAACACTGATGGCAAACATTTTTTTTTTTTTTTTGCATAAAAGCAGCTTTTTATTCATTGAAGTGCAATTTGCCAATAATACACATGCAGTGAGGTTTGTACATACTGTTTTATTGTTTCATTTTTCTTTACCATGTCTCTGCTTGCCTTTCTGTAAACGACCACACACCACTGGCAGAATACTAGCCAAAATAAAATCATAATTATAGGGGAGGGTATAAGAAAAGCCAAGGCACTGAAGTGAAAGAGAAACACGATGCAATAAAAACTGGTGGAAATGATTCATAACATTTTTAATACCAAATGCTTACACCGTATTCTTTTTGCAAATATTGCCATGTAAAAAACCAAATTCAATCTCACTGTATACAGGAAGTACATGTTAATACACATTGACTTACATTATATTACCCCCAAGATTCATTGCTGCACCATAAACCTGCCATTTTATTCAAAACTCCAGGATCAATCTGTTATTTTACACAATAGTGGAGAAACTAGGTTTGGCCCTTAAAATGTGACGCCCTACTATTCTGACCAACACGGATTTCAACACAGTTTAACAAAGAAAATATAGATGTTGACAACTATTAAAAACTGGGGGGAAGCACTAGAATGGCTTCTGCATAATTCAAGTTTTCAGTTAACCTTATCTGGTGATATGTCTTAATAGTAGGTGCATGCAAAGTGCTAATTCGGCAGAATAATTAGTATCATATCTGACCGTGATTTCTCATGGTCAGAAATGACAGACAGAATTCTTGGGAACAGATCTCTGGAAGTAAAGGAAGTGTACTACTTGCAAAGGGATAAATAATAATTGCAAGCACACTTTGCAGGTCAGAGTTCCAAGATTTAGCAAACAGGATGGGTACAAAAGTATTAGGAGGACGTATTAGGATGATACAAAAGCAGTCTAAATCTGGGCCACCTGGTCCTTAGGGGTCCAAGAGGTGGTGATAGTTGACAGTGCAATTACATGTACTCCACTAAATTATAATTTCCTGTTCTGACACGTCATATTTGGGCTCCACAGCTTTTCAAATGAAAACATTTTGCTCTACTACAAATTTCTGACGGCTAGCGGTACTAGCTATGTTTCATTTTATATGATAAGCCTATAATATATAGCCACTGTTGGGTTGAACAAGGAAATGGCAAAGTTCTCAATAACTTTTCACAAGTAGAGTTGTGGAAATTATTTTTATTTTCATTATATGAAAGGACAGTATCACAATTGTAATGTGCAGACTGCATCCTGGACAGAAACAGTTGCATTTGAAACATCTGCTGCTGCTAAAAGGACATTGACTTTCTGCAGGCATGCTGTAGACTTTGTGTTCATATATAAATTATGAAAGAAAATTAATGTGTCCTCTTTGGGGATTCGTGTCAGTGTTTGTGGGACTGTAGCTTCAGGTTTGTATTGTTGACTGGAATCTACATGAAAAAATGCATCTCAGGCCATGTTATGGAATAACGCAAAAGAGGTTAAATAGTTAGTGTACCTAGTGGCTTTCTTCAGCAAGAGATTAAGTAAGTAATGTGTAATATATTATTTCTGTTGAGCAACAATCCTGACATGAAATATCGCACATGGAAACATCGCAAGCAGCTATTGAATGGCTATGCTGTCCATCAGCATTACACTGAAAAGTACATATAACCTGCCAAAAATGGGAAAAACAGTTTTGCATAATTTAAGTGCTTTATCTTGTTTTTTGAGGTACAATCACTCTCGTGCCGATCAAATTTCCATAGGAAATATTAAGTCATGTAAAGGAATATGCATGTTTAACAGTGTGGTTTAAGTAGTAAGAGATAAGCAGGATGAGAGAGCAGAAACTTACTGACATATTAAAAGTGTTTTTATGTGAAGTTACAGAAAAGAAAATGCAGCTAAAAAGTGTTAAATGAACCACTGCAACACAGAACTGCTGCAGCTTCAGGTGTCACTCTTCATGGATTCATTCCGACGGTCTTTCCGAGACTGGATCCGTGCACATTTTGGACACTTTTTCACCACAAAACACTTTTTGTGAAAGCAGGCTTTGCACTCTGTGAAAGACACAAGATATTCATAGGTTTTATGTATCCTGCATATAAACCCAGTGGCAGCATATTACTTGTTATATTTGTGGGGGGGTTGTCAGAAGAATATTATGAAGTTGTACTAAGTCAATCCTGGTTTTAGTCTATAGAGGAACACAGACTGCATCTCGCTTTGTCTATGCTCACCTGGACAGCGTTTACATATGTCTGTCTGAAAAGGAAAGATGATGTCTTTCTCTCTGCAAAACTCACAGATAAAACCTCGGGCAAGACACAGCTGTGTGAAAGAAGTGAGAGAAGAAAGTCAAAATGATTTAATCTCATACAAACATTCACACGTTTTCCTCCTCTAAACATGTGTTGTATTCCTGGCTGTATTTAACTGAAATATTGTCTGAAATGTTGCGTACTTGTTTAAACGGGCACAAGGATAGGAGTCGTGAAAAGCTATTTCTTTAAGTCATCATTTACATATTAAGTCAGGTGAATGGGCCTGAGATCTACAATCCCTAACTTTAAAATAAATTTAAAATTAGAAATGCTTTTAATTTAGGTAAGCCCAATAATATTTAATTACCAAATGCATATCATCAGCACTGGAAAATAATAATACTGTCCTTAGGTAGAAATGTACTGTCTGTACTTTCTAGCTAATAAATAACATTAAAGAGGCCAGGAGCCATCTGGTTCAGAATGACTGACCTCACAGTTTTCCACATGAGTAATGGCAGACTGCAGCACTGCTTTGGCCTGTGGAACCAGCTGACCCTTCTTCACCTTCTGTAGGTCATCCATGGAGAAGAGGTTTGACTGCTCCCTCAGATGAGCAGGAAGATGCTCCAGCTCAGCCAGCACACTAGGACACAAACACAGGGCAGATTAAGTTACTAAGTAGTTACTAATGAGTTAGCAACAAAGGTTACTTGTTAAAAACTGTAGGTGAATTCAAATATTTTGTTCATTTCTGAGGGATTAGCATATAATTGCAGTGACCTCAGTTTAAAAGCTTTTTAAGGGCCTGTTAGGACAGATAGATTTCATGGTTAGGGCACATCCTGTAGGTCAGGTGTGGGGAACTCCAGGTCTCAGGGGCTGGTGTCCTGCAGGTTTTAGATAGCATCCTGGGTCAATACACCTTAATCAAATGATTAGTTTGTTATCAGGCCTCTGGAGAACTTCAAGACATGTTGAGGAGGTCATTTAGCCATTTAAGGATCTACATCTAAAACCTGCAGAACGCCGGCACTTAAAGGCTGGAGGTCCCTCACATCTGCTGTAGGTCCTGTGGGGTCTTTTGTGGATTGGGGTTGTTTTGGCACAACACAGTTACATCCACACATCCTTTCAAGCTTTTCTTTAGCTATGCGCTGAAGAAAAATAATTTTCAATTGTTATTTTCAATAACAAACGTCACTGCAGGTAATTCAGTGTAAAATACACACAAATATGATATATGATAATATAGTACAGTTACATGTTTATATAAATATATTTATTCATATAAACATTGAATTAAACTTGTAATAGTTAGAGATATTACTCTTTACTCTGATCAAAATATACTGCTCAGTTTTGAAGTTTGTGTCCCAGTGGCATTTCATTCACTCTATGAACTAGGTGAACTAGTAAATCTTATACCTAGCATACAGTCACGGCCGAACTCTTTATTTATTTACCATTAAAAGGTTTTTGAAACTTAATAAATCCTTGTAATAGTTCTTTAATGTGTGATAGAAACATAAAAAAATACTCAGCAAATTTAATGAAAAACACATTTTGATCCACTGCCAAACCTGTAAATGAAGTAATGTCTTTATTTTATAAAACAAGGACATGAGCTGTTTATACATACATACAATATATATCAACTTTGTATTATCTCCAAATGTTACCTTTCTGATAATCTGCAGGCTTTTAGCAGCTTCTTGATTCCCAGCAGCTGATCCTGCACCTCCTGATGGGAGGATAGAGGGACATGTTAAAAACAAAAGGAATACAAAAATAAATGAAAACAACCTAATAGTTTGTCATTGAATTTCAGTATCGGCTTTGAAATCTAATTCCACAGACTACTTACTAAATCCAGTAAAAGAATAAATAAAATGCCAGGATTCTTCCGATAGCTATCGATATGTTTTTAAATGTGAATGATTGCTTTCGGGCATCTATGATCACGGTAAGCACAACAGTAATAATTTAGTCATTAACTCACCCTAAACCTGTCCAGTTCTTTCACTTTACTGTACAGATTTTTACCAACACAGGTCAGGTCAAACAGAGGCTGCTGCCACACTGAATCCAGCAGCTGTTTGGAGAAATCACTCACAGGGTACCTGAAATATCAGGATTATTGTGAGTTATGATGATGTTACAGGGTTTAGAAATGCACTGCAAGTTATTTAGAAGTAATTTACATTTACAAGACATTTAATCATTTCAGTTTTCTATATGAATTAACTATACATTTAACATATGTCAACAGTTACTATAATATGTTGTCTGATTTGATCACCTGCCAAAATCCCAGCAGGACAGTACTCGACCCGGAATCACAGCCTCTGAGCCGCTGTGACAGCAGTCACAGAAATATCTGCAAAAATGAATAACAACAGATCAATGATTCATTTGTAATAACTTCATTATTTAAATATATATGGCTTAATATCTGATTGCAGGAAAACATAGCTCACGGTGTTTTTAATATTTGGGTAATAACATGTTATTTTCCATACCTGCCGAGGTATTCACAGTACCGCAGTTTCTTGATGTACCCTGGTGGGAGACAGAGAGTCTTATATTTGGTTTTGCTGCTTGTTACATTGTGAAGACATGGCTGAGGCCTGTGTTTGGTATTTACTGGTACTCAAACTTGATTACTATAGACAACAATGATTTCAGTGAGGAACAGTTTTTTACATTTATTTATTCCTTTTTTAAGAAATGACAAAGTTACATTTCACAGAATGACTTTGAGTTTTAGACAAAAATGCTGAATACAGTTGTATTAGTGAAGTGCATGACTTATAAATCTCTCTGCTTTTTCGGTAATGGAAGCATTTTCTGACTTATAGTTTATTCTCCTGTGCAGGGATTAAAAATGTTTTTATGAATGCGAATGTAATGTTCAGATAAAAACTAAAACAAAAATCCTCTGCAATTCATATTATGTAATGCAGTACTCACTGGGCTCCACCTCGGTCCCACAACCTGCACACAGGAAGTGTTGCGAAGCCACTACCTCGCTTCGTCTGAACAAAGAAAAGAAACCCACACACATTCAGCTCTAAATACACAATCATATATAGCATCAGAAATAAACCATTTTTCCGCTGCGCTGTTGTGTCATCACATATAAATGAGACCTGTGCGTTGGCTGGACCGTGAAGATGATCTGGAAACGTGGTGGTGCCCAGCTCAGGGATCCTCTCATCCTGGTACGCTGTCGGATCTCTTCTGTCAGGCTATCGCTGCTCACCGCCACATTTTCTGTACCCGGCAGCTGGTATGAACAGGAAGAACAGAGGATACTTGTGGTCATTTCTGGAGTCCAGTCCCAGCAACGTGTAATAAATATGCGGGAAAGTTTTCTTTGTCATCAGCCACCTATATCTTATTATATATTTATCTTGCATTAAAATACCAAGTTGAGAAAGTGTTACAGTCATAGTTGATTTGTGGTTGCTGTTCTCACCTCCTGAAGCGAGCTGCGAAGGCTTTGCCGGCCACGCTGAAGCTCAGTAGAAGGGAGCCATCTTTTTTTGAAATCCAACACCAGCTGCTGGGCTAGCTGCTCAGCACTGCACCATGGACATCATAGATTTAGTCAGATTTAAAAGAACAAGCGCTTACATTATTAAAATGCATGTTTACTGAAAGGGATAGGTTTTCTTACTTTTTTAGAGACTCTCTCTGAGTTAGTGTATGATCAACTCCACAGTCTGAAACAGAAACACATAATATGATGATTATGTTTATTCTCATTTAATCCAATATTAAGAAAATAATTTCTATATTTAGTTGATATAATAATGTATATGTGTTGATAAATGTCATAGAAAAAAAACAACATTTAAAACAATCAGTTCCTGATATAAAGTCAGTGAACACTAGGGGGGAAACAAATACTGTAGGCTTCAAATTTCCAAGCGCAGATAAAATATAGATACGTTCACAGTAAGAAAGCACTTTCTGCTGATCAAAGCATGTTTATATGAGTTCTTTGTTACTTTTGACTCAGATGGAAGATTGGTGGAAAGGAACAATCAACCTGTTGATACCATCTTCACAGCATTTAGGCTGTAAGAAATTAGTCATCCTGTAGCTTTTTAGTCTGGCTTTTTGTCTAAAAACATTATCCGGACAAAGTTGGGACAAAGGAAGATGTAGGACGACCCATTCCTGGTCAAAACAATATGTTTGATAAGGGACTATTTAAGGAATGTGTGTTTCATTAAAAATAGAATTTCTTACCTTCGAATCCGCTGTCAGTGGAGAGCACAGACAGAGTTTTCATTTGATGTTTAGGCTCATCCTTCCCTGCTTCCTCCTCCGCTTTGTCCTGTGTTTGCTGCTCTACACATATGTGTGTTTCTCTGTGTGACATCTTCATGTCTTCATCAAGATGTCTTCGCTTGTACCTCTCTCGTCTAGGATCAACTCTGCTGTACTTTACTTTATGCCTGTGTAATCTAAATGTCTGCTTCTGTGGCAAACTCTCCTGTGCAGAGCTTTTATGTCTTTCCTTGCACATCAGGCAGTTTGTGTCCATCGTGGAACGCCACTGATCTAAGCTAAGAGTCCATTTTGCATTTTCGAGCATCTCCAGCACCATGTCCACCACAATAAAATGAGCGTTTTCCTGCACACAGACAGACACTGGTGAGACGCTGCTGAGAGCATTTGGCACCTGTCTGCTGGCACAAATCTGGCTGTGATTTCACATTTCTATATTTAATGCCAAACACTATAGTAACCCGATTAAAGGCATAAAATGAAGTAATTCATAAGTAATTCAATTAAAAAAAAAGTTCAGTGTCTTAGATTTACATTTACATGGTCTAATAGTAACAGATGGATAAAGATATGTGTTTATGAATGGCATGCTAAGGAGGATTGTTGATATATAAATGATAAATTAAGCACTTGCTAATACCTTACTGATGTTTAATAGTGGGACATTATTCTACCACCTTTAATTTCATATATCTGTAGCTTATAATTTGCAGTTGTATGACTCAGCCAATAATTTTTAAAATAAGCAGCTTGTTTTACAATATAAAAATAAAGGGGTGTGTCATTAGCTTTTTTATATTTACTTTTATTAATTTCATTGCAAAATAAATAAAACTGTGAATGACTGTTGGGGGGGAAATGTAATGTACCTTTTCCAGTTCACAACTGGTCTTGTAGATCTCTGCAGGGGATGCTGGGATATCGCTGCTGCTTCTTTCTTTGCTTTGTTGTGTTGAGGTAGCGCATCCTGATGAAACACACACACACACACACACACACATAAATAAACTGACTGGGTTTCTAGCCTTTTTAACATTTATATTTTTTTCAGTGTTGCTAACGTCAGGTTCATATTTGCATTCAGTGCACTCGGTGTATCACTGTTACTGTCTGCTCAGTTCTATATTTTTATTCTTGGGCTTTATCGAGGATATAAACGTGGGTATTCATAAAACACTAAAAAGTTTTCTCAAGATTATGCCAAAGGAAAAGGTGGCAATATAAATGTGTACAAAGGCCTACAGTCAAAGCCTGGAGTAGCTTTACATGTTTCACAGTTCAAAATAATCCCTATTTATCGTATACGTTTTCCCTGAATCCCTGAGTTTACACTCATCCCTTGAATCCAGCTTCTTTCTGATGTCCTTCTCCTCACAGAACTTTCTCTTATTCTTTTTTTTAACTTTTACACCTTACAAGTACAGTGTGACGTCTGGGTTTTTATGAGTTGTTGCCGTCAACTTTTATGTCTCTTAACTTCATCACGCTGAGATTCAGAAGTGTTTGTGGTACATTTGAAAGACGCCATCCTAAATAATCTTTTCCCTTATTAAAGAAAATCTGCAGCTCAAAACCGGGAATGAAATCATAGAGTTAGTGTGTTTTTGGACATGGTTAGTCTCCTTATAGGCACAATAAAACTGCCAGCCACCCTTTACTACTTGACACAGCTGAAAAATACAAAACAAAAATCAGTAAACCCCAGTAATGCTATTTTACCTGGTGTGTTGTTGGGAATGCAACTACTCTGGGTCCGCCTTTTATGCTCCTCAGCTAATCCCTGCTGTCCACTGTAGGGAAGGTGGAGGCTGGGAGTCAGAAGCCGTTTCAGATTTGATGAGATAGAGGTAGAGCTTTGCTTTTTAGCCATCTCCACTGCGAATGACAACTGATAGGAGCTCGGTTTGGATTCCAGATCCTCCCCACTGCTGGATGTCGACCACTCCTGGGGACCCAGAGACGGTGAACCAAAGACAGGAGATGGTGGGTCCGAGCTAACAGGAGAAACATTTCACTTTAGATGGAGAAGTTTCAAAACAATGCAAGTGAAGATCATCCAAGAAATAAACACCAAATTAAATGTTAACCATAAAAAAGCACATATTGTGCATCACCTGACAAGCAGCTGAGTGGCATCAAATGTTTACTCATCACTTTAACAAGTATTTAGTTGTTAGTAGTTAGTGTGAGCAGTGAAAATAGTATGTTCACTGTATTTTCAACAGAAACATGAGGAATATCCTGTTTCTTCTTTTTACTTTGAGGCGTAAAACCATAGCTGCAGAAATAAAATAAAGGTCTCTTTATTTACTCATTTCAGTTCCTGTTTGCTCATAGGCTCTTGGCAACCACACAACTTTCATGACATTTACCATAAAGTATCTCAAATGTCAAACACTGTGAGTCCTAAGCAGTAAACACTGGCTCCTGCTGCAATTATTCACAAGAAGTAAAGCTTGTTGTTTACATATACAGCATACTGTGTAGTGTTAACATGAGCTTATTAGTTTTATTGTGTTACTTTACCTCCAGCAGCCAGTTATCCCACAGTAACTGAAGTCTCTAAAGCCTTAGCGCCATCAAGTGGTGCTAGAGTAACACTGTGATAAGCAGACTGTGCTATATTCCTATTCACTATTAGGTATGAAGTGACCACAAAGCAACAACCTAAATGTGGGGCAAAGAGTGTGTGTCTGTGAGACAATGTGGGACAGCTGGTGAAATGCTAAGAGAGGGCCTGCACTTTTCATGTGTGTAATTTAAAAAAATAAACACACAAACTAAAGGACAAAAATACTCATTCATATGAAGGAAATTTTCCCAGCCTGCTCACTGAGGAATGCAAGGTTGTGTTTTTCAAGAGGCTTCTTTCGCTTGTCTGTTCCCTTTTTCTATCCCGATAACTAGGAACTGTTGTGCGTACTGAGCAGTCTGGTGACCATCTTTTGGTTTCAGCAGGAAGGCATTCACACAGAACCGTGTCTTATTTAGAGCAATACATATTTTATAAAATTGTCGTGTGCTGTGTTTAGTTCGCGTTACAGCTGGAACTCAGTGAAGCTGCATTTCCTTTTCTCTGAGTTCGACTCCACAAAAAAAGGCAAAGTTGTGACTTTAAGGTTATTTGTTTCTTTTCCCCATTTATTAGCTTAGTGTAGACAGTAAGTGAATCTGCATATTACCTAGATACATATACGGTGAATAATGTTTCCATAGGTCAAAAAACACTATTTTACAAAAATGTACTTTTGGTGTAGTTATTAACAGATTCACCTGACATGGAAAAGCTTTGAGACCAGGAGGAAGCAAAAACAAAGATTCAAGGGAGCCCAACTTTGTGTCTTCCTACTGCTTATCACAAATCAAAGGATTACATCAGGAAGGGCCAAATCAAACATGCAGATCCATCCACTGTCGACACCCTGTGGGAAATAAGGGTGCAGCCATATAAACTGAAAACTTAACTCTAACTCTCCTTTAATTAATTTTATAGTTATCAGATCTATACATGACTAATGATACCTTTTTGTGAAGCATCTTGCAAAACTAACTGAAGTGTCCTAATTTTTTGCTAAAGGATGCATAAAAGTATGCAATATAGACAGTTTAGTGAAGTGTAGAAGAGGCAGAACAGGTTAGTTAGCTGTACCGCTGTGGAGGTTCCAGTGATGCACTATGTTGGACTGGTGCAGGACAGGCTGTGGTGCACATGTTAGGTATTATTTTAATAATTTCTACCTTTGCTACTAGCTTCATATTGTGTAGGACTGGGATGGACCGTTAAATTTCCCAAGGGGCCACGTGAGAAAGTGGGACTGTTGTGTTGAACTGCATCAATAAGCCGAACTCAGTTCGGCTCATTATTAATATTATCTCTATAAATGGCCACTGTCTGTTAAGAGTAGATGTTACAATTTGTCAATGCAAATGTGAAATAAGCACATGCCAACATTGTATCACTATAATCAACATTCCCACAAACAATTGTGGACAAAGTGTGTGTTGTAAAATTTCCAGATTTTCTGTTTATAGTTTAATTACATCATTTGCAGTTTTGAAAATGCAAAGGAAAGTCACATCAACAGCAAATGCAAGATTTGCTTTCCATTGTGCATATGAGAGCTCTGGAATGTCCTTGTCACAAAATTTCTGCTCTGTTTTTAGCACTTTGCCTACGCTGAGCCACCTCCCCCATGTGTGGGAACCTATGTCACCATGTTCAGTCTGATGTGCCTACAAAAGTGCAACAAACTGTCGGTGATCCAATGCTCCTGCCCTGATGAAATTGACTATTTTAGTTACAGCATCAGAAACCTGATTCATTTTTAGCACTGACTTACACTGCACGTCCTGCTGTATGATACAGTTCAAAAATACCAGTTCCTGTTTTTGGTTAATTTCATTTTGCATCTGCTTCAAAAGCAGATTTGAACAGCCATAGTTTGTAACATCAGCCTGTTTGTCCCATTGCAGAGCTTGCCTCTCCAATCATGCCTTTCACTCAACACATTCCTGATAGCTCCGCTGTCCACTTTTCAACTGAAAATCCAGATTTCCTGCAAAGGTGTTGAAAGACTCTTGATCTTGCTTGGAGAGTGGCATATTCTTAATTGCTCCTTTCCTCTCAGGTGCAAAAGAATTCACCAAACATTCACTGATAAACTCCCCATCAGAGTATGAATTACTGTTTTAGCGATTTTTTTGGAAGTAAAAATAAAAAACTGGATGATTAAAGATTGTTAAAGAAAAAAAGAGAAGGGCTTGTTGCTTGTGTAGCTTTGCTAGCAAAGGTTCAGATGTCGAGTTCTTGTATTTCTCAATCCTTAAACATAGTAATCTGCTCCAAAAACCACACACATGGCTTTACCTGTGACTACAGTAAATAAATACTTAGAAGACTGTGTTAAAAACTCTGCATCAGGGGGTCTCAAACTTAAATGAGCTGTAGGCCACTGCTGCTACTGTCATTTCATGTGAGGGCCACTGTAGTGTTCAAAAAACAAACAAATAAGAAAACACCCACAAATATTTCTGAAAATCTAGTGTTTTGTTCGTTTTTTTAATAATTTCAAATATTGTATCACAAGACAAAACTACAAACAGGAAGACTTTTTTGTGACTCTTAAATAACTGAAGCCTTTCATTGAAATACCAAAGAAACAAATTGGTAAACTGTTTCTGACCAGACACGTGGCAGCACTTCAGCTATGATAAGAATGCAGACATAAGTGTACACATGAGTTTTTGACTGCTAGTGAAAACTGTTTTCTTCACAAATAACTCTCACTAAACTCAATCCCTCAACATGTTTTTACTCTCTGTTCATATTGCCTTCATATTAAATAGCTTTTTGCTTTTTAAAGGACTTATTTTAACATTGCAGTCAACAACAAACAAATCTTCCCTAAAAAAAGGTAACTTCAAGAGCCAAATTGTATTATATTTCTTCACGTCAATATACAGGCCTCAAGTAGGTGTGACGTGGGCCACAAGTGGCCTCTAGGCCGCAAGTTTCAGACCCCTGCTCTATATTCTGCATCAGTCTTTCTGACATATTTCAGGGCCAGCAAACTCGAAATGGCATTTACTTGCAGACATAAATGCATGTTTTGTTTTGTTTTGTTTTGTTTTGTTTTGTTTTGTTTTGTTTTGTTTTGTTTTGTTTTGTTTTGTTTTGTTTTGTTTTTTCATAACATCTTCACAGCAAAAGAAACAAAGTTCTATTGTGATTTCCCACAAAATGGAAGGACTGTTTGCTGGCTGAAATGGGACAAACTGGGTGTATATCTATCTATATTATGCTTAAATCCCAATTTCCAATTGACCTCACACTGGCAGGGGCAACCAAATGGGCCAGGTGGAGCCTGGGGCCATACCATACTCTGGGCTGATCTAGAGGTCTGGAAATCAGCCTTTTAGCTCTCTGCTTATGTCTTATTTAAACTGAGTTAGCCCAAAGAACAGAAAATATCAGAATAACAGCACAGCACCACTACACCCAATTATAGGGTTCCCATTTTAACTCCTGGTCCTAAGTATCTGAATAATACAAGTGTTAACATGTTTTATGCCACCTACAGTTTACCTGTGCGTACTGAACTGTCGCAGTAAAATCATGTAGCATGCAGCTTTGTTCAAGGGGACAAAGTTGTTGCTTTGTGTGGATTCCAAACAGCTAATGATAAAAGTCATTCATGAATTGTAGCACTCAAGAGAAAAGACTGAATGACTCATGCACAACTCTTACTTAGTTTGATATGATAGTTACTGATTTACCCATCATCACAGCTTACAGCTTATTTTAGAAAAGCATCACTTAAAAAAAGCACCTTTAGAAATGTAATATAATCGTTTAGGCTTTGCCTTTTTTTACTCATGAAACCCTTCCCTGGTTTCTTCACCCCCAATGAATAACAACAAGACTTTAGAAAAGTATCTATCTTGCAGTGTTGCCCTTTAAAAGTTAGAGTCACTCAGAATGTGGGAGACAGTTTCAATATGTTTGAGGAGGCATTGTGTTTTTTTAAAAGCACACTGCACTCTGATCGCTCTACACACTGCTCAGCCACAACAGATGCTTTAGCTGATAGGTGTATCTCACCGCACTTTGTTATTATTTCTTATATAATTAGTCGTATATTCCATCTATGACACATGTAGATCTGTGTTTCTTGGTCATTTTTTTTTTATTTGTTATGCAATCATTTGTAATAATGATATTGCTGCAATGTTTTGTAATACTTTGAACATATAGTACACAGTACATAGTGGTTACCTGGGACTAGATGTATCATTTACTCCTCCGTGCCAGGAGATGGGCCTGCTGCGTCTGGAAATGACCGGACTGCTCCGGGGAAGGTGGAATTTTTTATCCTCTGGATCCAAAAGAGAAAGTTCCTCTTTGCTCTGGATGTCAGTATCTGTCAATACTATGTTGCCTTTCTTACACTCATCACTCAAACCCTCACTGCTGTGGCTGAGTCTGTCTGACTTGGAGTCAAGGAAAGATTTAAAATTGAGGCAATTGACTTTTGTCTGCTGGTGGTGATGGGAAGATGATGAATTTGCTTCTGCTCTGTCAGTTTCTGGTGGTGACAGAAGGAGAAGTGGGTTAGAATCCATAGCAGCTGACTGTTGTGTTTGGTAGCAAAGCAAAACAAGGGAGACAGCAAAGAAAAAGTTAGGCCTGATCAATATGTATTCCAAAGGCATTCTTCGTTTTAATTGCACGTAGATTTTTGGAGCTGGAACCAGAAACAGAGACTGTTCTGGAAAAGATATGTCCAGATAATTTCAAGCTAAAAGCCTAGCAGTTTTAAACTAAAGCTTTGCGATAAATGTTTCAGTAACTCTCTGGTGTTTCCTGTGTGGTGGCGGTCATACGTCTTTCAAGATGCCTAGAACAGAAGGTTTACAAATATGTGCTGGATCTTACCTGTAGATGCCATTGCAGGGGTTTTTGACTCCACTATGTCCACATACCAGCTGACATACTTGGAACTATACAGAGAGGAGGACATGGTGCTTTGGCTTCCCATCTGTGCAGAAAAAGAGAGCCATTGTTTCTCAATAACTTTGAAGCAAACTTCCTGCTGCTTTCAGAGCAGAGGCAACACAAGTACCAGTTGTGTTATTGACTAATGGTTGTACAAGATCAGAAAGTATTAAATGTTCTGTAATATTGTGTAAGTTATTAAGCTGCTGAAAATGTTGGGAAGGTTTATTAGTTCTGCCACAATTTGGAACTGATGAGAATAAAAATAAATAAATAAATATACATATTCATTAGGCAAGGATATGCAAGATTGTAACCTAAATCTTTATCATAATGCAAATTTTAAAGTGTGAAGGTATCTCAGGGGAGAGTTAAAGATTTTTCAAATTTAAAACAATTACAAATACACTGTCATCCGGACTCCCAGTGTGGAGCAATGCATGCATTTCCCAGGAAATGTGGCATCATAGACTTTTTACTTGTGCAAGTCACAACTGCACAGAGTGTGTAGCTGAATTATTTCATTAGCTCAAAGTAGAGCAACTGTTTGTCTGTGCCATCAACTTCTCTGGATGTTCTCAATTCTTTCAACTGGCAAGTTATAAATATTACTACATCCACAGATGCTGATAACTGTTTGCAAAGGTGATTTAAGCATTTATGTAAAGAGTTAACAGAGTTAAGTGATGCATGTGTTTATATACACTATTCTTAATGACTTGTTTTGCTGCACAACTATTCTAATGAAGAAGATCCTTGTAAAAAATAATATGTTTTTAAAAGTTCATACCAGCCTTATGAATTCAAATGGAGGAATTCAGTGTATTAAAAACAGAAAACGTCATACTAAAATAATGAGAATAGCAGAGTGTTTATGTATAACCATCGTTCAGAGGTATTTGGGTGTTTTTATAATGATAGTTTCTAAAACTGAACCAGAACATGGATTACAGAAGATGGGGCTGAACATCAATCGTTTATTTCAGTTGCTTTCAAAGATCTCACAAACTCTCCTGGAAAACAGCTACTGTGGCCAATACTTCATAAAAGCTAATACATGCTAGCAAAGTCTTTAGTTCATCTAGAATTAGAACAGTCTCAGCCGAGAAACTCCAACAACCATGTGCAGAAAGATCTAAGATCTAAGCTTTCATGCTTTGTAAAATAACGCAGCCTGTGCAGTGTGGGTGTGACTCTGATAAAAAAAAATGGGTGTCAGAGACATCACTCTGAGAATTAGCACTATCCTGTACGCAAGACAAAACATTAGAACTACGAAGCATATCAGTCTACATAAAGGTTATTGTAAAGACCTGACAGTGAAAGGTAACACTGAGAAACTTGTTAAATTAATGACGTTTAAAAAATTATTTTATTGTTTGAACTCAAATTTAAAAAAAACTCGAACGCTTATAAAGCCAACTAAAACAAAATAAAAATACCCAGGACATGTCTTTAGTTTCAGCTGCTGTCAATACAACCAGATAACTACATGACTTACACGTAGTCAGTTCTGCCTAACATAATGCAGAGGTTAGTTGGTGATTTAAAAAGATAAGAACTTTCCTGACATCACTGTAGCTTATTGGTCCTGAGTTTAGGGCACCCTGATGGCCAACTTCTGCTTTTTTTCTTCTTTTTTTTTTTTACTTCTACCTGGGAATAAATGACAAGGCCTGCTAGAGGGGGATTTTAGGCTAAAGCATGATCCATGACGATCAAACTGAGGTGTCACAAGTGGTTACATTGGTACTGAAGTGTTGTGAACCCAATGTCACCGTCTTTGAATCTGAATAAAGCTGGCATGTTTAATCAAAGATGAGACATCAGCGTAAAACACAAAAGACCTAAATTAAATGAGAAAATGTAGCACTGAACAGCCTTCAACGTCATTAACAGACCTCACATCCAACTAAAACTACAGTTATTTTATAGTCCACCCTCTGTATCCTCATACCACACATATACAACAAAATTTATCCCCAAACAAATCTAAGAAGTGAATTTCAAAGATTTGAGATTTTAAAAAAAGGAAGAAAACAGCCAAAGATATTTCAGTGCAAATACAAATGTATTACTCTCAAAGCGACACAGAAAGCAGTTTATACATGAGCCCTGCTGATTAATCTCTCTTATATATCGCTCATATATCTTCAAGGAGCTGCTTCGCTTTAATCAGCAAACAGAGCTTCCTGTATGAATGCAGAAGTAGATTCTAATTGTAAGTGATAATGTCTAAAATATTTCCCTTTTTTGTTTCAGTCAAAGTAAAAAGCAACACGTTGGAAGCAGAGAGAGGGGGGAAAGCAGACAGCAGAAGCAGCACTGACCAGAACACAAAGCTCAGGCTACTCACCAGTTAGTGACTCGAAGAGGAAACCTGTCAGTCTGGTGAAGGGAAGACTAATGCGAGTCTTCAAAAAGCTGCGGCAGCTGGAGAGAAAGGAAGAGGGCTGGTTGGTTTTCAGCACTTCCTGTATTTAAATCAGGTTTGTATTTTCTGTGTCTCAGCAGTCAGTGCTGGGCTTTTTTTCCACTAAGAACAGAGACACCAAGAAGCTCTCAGTACACCGCACAGCACCTTACCACAAAATTACCCTAAATATGTAATCTGCCACTTAAAAAAACACAGGCTTCTGACTTTTTCTCAACTATTTAATAACAGGGAGTTGATTCATTATGTATTAAGTCATGCTTTTATTTTAGGAGCGTTCATAATACATAACACATAACATATAATTAAAATATTTCTTGTTTCTTTCATTCTAAAGAATGAAGGAACATTTAATGAAATATAATCAGATCGATTATAGGAGCAAAAGTGTTTCCTTAAACCCATTGCAGGTCTTAAATGTTGTGTTCAAAGGTTCCTCAATTTAAACACCGTCACAGACGCGAGTGCAAAGGTTTCGTTCAGCAGCATATCTTACGTGACATTTCTCAGTGCTCAGCAAAGGCTGGCATGTTAGCTGGCAGCTGGCAGAGGTGAAAGAGGAAGTTCTAGTACAGAGACAAGTATCAATGGCCGAGGGTGTTGTTGAGACGTGATCAGATTGAGACACTTACCTCCAGTCTTTACCTCTAGGTGGCAGCATTTCAGAGCCCAGACATAGCTCAACGTCAGTTGACATTCGGTTGATATTTCAGAACAATTGGTATTTCAGATATAAAGGATGCAACCAGGAATTGTCTGTCTGTCTGTGACAGACAAGCGAACCTGTCTGTGTTCACTTCATATACTGTATTTCCATGGAGGTTTGCATGTTTCAGTAAACTGCTGCAACATTTCCTATTTTCCTAGCAACATGAGAGATAGCATAGAACTTTTGCACAGCACTTTAGACACGGTCAAGTCGACTGGTGAAATTCAAACCAGGTTCTGAAGGGGGGAAGTGATTTAAATGTTTTCGTGATGCTCAGGACTTTTTCAGTTAATTTTTAACTGCTGTAACAAAGAGACCTTACAACTCTGGGATGAATAAAATATATTTCAACTTTGCCATGTCTTCTCTTTAAGGGGTAACTTGATCCAGTAGACAAAGCAAGACAAGTCATCTGAGAAAACTCTTATAAGTCTGATTTTAAACTACAAGCCTAAATGTAATGATTCAGTAAATGTTGTAAGTAAATATGGCTGTTTTTATTAGTGATTATGAAATAAACATTACAACTCATTTGTTTGCTTTAATAAAAGATAAAGATAGATGACTGAGTCTTTTTGGGAAAGAAACACCGAAATCTTAAACCGCAGCACTTCATTCTTTCAAGCATGAACATCCAGAGATGATTTGAATTTCACTTTAAGTGTATACTATTGCATATTTGGTGTACTTCCTCATTTTTTAGCTGGTGAACATGAATACCAGACTTTGTAGTCAACAACAACAACAACAACATATGTTTTGATAATGCCATTCAAAATGCCATAGAAAGTAGGGACTTGGTCTGGAGTCAGTGTCGTCTATTCCTCTGTTATTTTGTGGCTTAATCAGATCTCTTTCATTGTTATGAAGACCACATAATTGACTTACAGTGAGCTCAACTTACACCCAAGCTGGGGGCTGGTTTTGTAACATAGTCACTATTTTGGGGGTAAAAAAAAAAGTGCTTACAAAGGAAACACGAGCTACACATTTCCTGAAACACACATTTTTACATCCTGGTACCTCATTGACATGACATCACTTTATGTCAGAAAATTGTGATATCAGAAAGAAAAGAAAGCTCTAACTGGTAAAAACGTTTTTTGTGAGAAATATTTGAGTCGCTTCTTAAACTTCTTCCTTCCACTGCCTCGTGTTACTCCCCTCTTCTCTGCTTTGACTTTTATGAAGATAAAAAAGGACATATGTAATTATACTCATGTGGAAAATAAATAGTAAAAACTTATAAAAGACTTGCATAAGATGTGGCCTACTTCATACAGTGAATCATATAAGGCTTATATGATTTACTCATGAAAGTGGCCACTTTCTCATTACTTTCATATATTGTTTTAGTAAGTATCCAAAACATCCAAGTTTCATTTATATAATTTTTCAAGGGCTCTTATATCTGTTTTCAGTCCTGTATGCTTTTCACACAAGTTTCACACAAGACAGATACAAACTTTATAAGATTTATATATATCTTTTCCATATGGTTAAACTGTGCATGCAAAAAGCAAACTGGCTAAAAATTTGCAATAACTATTGAGTTTGAGTTAATCTGTAAGATGTGTTGTGTGTTAGGTTAGCAAAGGTCCTCACAAGTATGTAAGTATGAACAAGTGATGGTGCTCAGTGTAATCAGGGGTCAGCACTGTGCATCATCTGCTGATGCAAGCTCGTTATGTAATGAGCTGACTCAGCACTTCCTTCTGATTCCCGGTGGGACTCTCTCATTATCACTCATGCACACACGCACGCACGCACGCACACACACACACACACACACACACACACACACACACACACACACACACAAGCTTCATGTACACAGGATGGTTGTAAATAAGGGTTTTTGGCCTGCAGCACGAATCAGTTTCTCTCCTCTCATAGAGCTGCTTTCCCGTGCTTTAATCTCAAACAATAAAATTTGATCAAATGTATATTTATGGTTCATTTATTGTTCATTTGGAACTGGTGACATTACTGCTCACAAACTGCAGCAGTGGTGTTGCAGATAGTGTAAATATGACATTAAAAATGAAGAAAAAATTGTGAAGGTTTGTACCAATTGTTAAATCTAAAACTTACACAGAGAGATTGTACACTACAAGAGAACTGTAGTTACAATCTTCTATACACTTTTCACTGCATTGTTAGTAGTTACTTATTCTTATATCCTTGCTAAAGGTAACTGGTGTGACCTGGATATCTTGGTCTCAGCAGCCACTTTAGTCAAAAGGAAACCACCATAACTTAAGCACAGGCCTAACTGCAAAATAGGACACCCAGCCCTTTAGTCTTTAAACCTTGTGTTTTAAAGCAAAATGAAAATTTCTGAGATAACTAACTATAACAGATATAACAGAGATTAAACTCTATGAGAAAGCTTCAGTGCGCGAAATGTGTTGTTTGTCGCTTTTGTCCAGCAGAGGTCACTGTTCATTAAATTTCAGCCCCACTTTCATTTTCACTGCCTTTCACGGGCCGCAAAAGGCTAGTGCGCAGCCGCACTCAGCTGCACTGAGTCAAAAAAAAAAGAAGAAGAAATGCGGCGTGAGACCGGAAACACTGTTTTCAAAATAAAAATCGTAGCGCAGTAGAATATCGTCAGTCATCTTTATATAATATATTATAAGAACAGAATTGAGGCCACATAACCACTTACACAATTGCATTAACAGTGCTTTACTTATACATTTGCAATCATGGTATATTAATTCCCCCTCGTATCTGGATTTATAACCACATTTCAATGGTAAGACCTTTACATTTGTGTCTGAAATATTTAATTTGAAATTTAAAAAATGAATATCTAAATTATACCCGAAACGGCTTCGTATTTATTATTTCATTCCACCGTAACATTGGCCTGGTCGGTGTACAATTTTGAAATTTGTTCCCCGGATGTCGCACCGTCCAACTGAGACGCTTGACGACACGCGCAGACCTCCAGGCAGACGCGGCGGCGACAATCACGAATTCAGAACGCGCGGCACGGCCACGGACGTCTGTGAAGTCAGTGTCCCGCTGTTTACCTGAACGTAGCCAACCCCGCGCGCTCTTTCGGACATAACCGATACACGGACACGCGCAGCGGAGAGGCGGAAAATTATGGCGACGTTGGGACCGGAGTCGGCTCGCCCCCCTCTGGGTTCTTCTCCGTTAGTCCAGGCTCACATCGGCAGCGCCAACCTGCCTCCCAACCGGGGCTTGGAGCGGGCGCTGGAGGAGGCGGCGGCCAGCGGCGTCCTCAACCTCAGCTGCCGAAAACTGAAGGAGTTTCCCCGGACAGCAGCCAACCACGACCTGTCGGACACGGTGGAAGCAGGTAGGTTGTTCTTTGGTGTATTGCACTCGCCCAACAGCCCATCCCGGTTAGCTTTTAAGAAGGGGGGGCACACCGGTGCTGGGCGGTAACTGCTCCCCGCTATAAACGCGTCACGGCGGCGTGGAGACTCCTTTAAGTAACCGCTGGACGTTATTTACAACATTGGCATTTCCGTTATCCACGAGGACTAACTGAGCGTTTGCTCACGAAGCTGCACGGGTGGTGTGCCGAGCCCTCAGCCCTGGTGGTGTTTGCAAGTTGGAACTTTGGCTTCACCTGAACCGGATGCACAGTTGACTTTAACCCCTCCACTGAGTCGTGTTTAGCCTCCTGACTGGCCTCATTGTGACCTGAGATTTGTTCATTATTGAGAGAACAGTCATAGGAAAAGTTTCAAGTTTCCAAATGACTGAAGCCCTGTGTTTATGGAGGGCTATAGTGAAAGTGGGCACTGGAGCATTTATCACTGATCCGACTGTTCAGTGGAAATCCCCACTACTTCCTTTTAATCCATTACAAGATGTAAACAGGCATGGAGAGTTGGCTGAACCCCGACACACTCAGTCTGTGCTGTTTTAGGCACAACATAGCTATTTTCTTTCCAACCCAATCCCCTATCACGTTAATTACCAGAACACAAAAGGTTATGTGTGTAAAGTTTTCTAACATAAAGGTAAACAATAAAAAAAAGATGTATTTTTGCGCTGTAAAAGCTGAAGGAAAGGGTCTTTAAGAAAAGCAGATGTTGTTTTATATGAGGGTTCTTTGTTTCATGAGTTTAAAAGTTTAAATGTGTTTGCGCTCTAACAGACCAGTTACCTATCCATGTCATAGACTGTATGTAAAAGATGGATGTAGCCACCATGCAACCATCAGTTGCTTACTGAAGACTGATTATGAAGTCCTGAGCTGAGTTTTTTGTTATTGTTATCATGTTTTGATACTAGACAAGGACAAAGGGGTGGAGCTGACTGTGAAAGAACTATGCATACACCTAGGGTGATGTCTTGTGATTCATAAATAACTAGCTAATTAGCATACCCTAAATCAGGGGTGTCAAACTCAAATACACAGTGGGCCAAAATTCAAAACTGGAACAATGTTGTGGGCTAACATTAATATTTATTGAAAAAAAAATCTTCCTCCAGATATAAGAATGAATCTTTTCTTATGGACTCAAACAAGTTTTGCTGAAAAACTGAATATGGAACAAGCAAGGCTTAATACTAAACGATATATATATTAGCTGTGTAATACCAGTAGGCCAGCTCTAATAATAATTTGGTATGGCTTCACGGGCCAAATGTAATTACACTGCAGGCCAAATGTGGCCCACGGGCCAGAGTTTGACACCTATGCCCTAAATAATCCTGATTTATGACTCTAAAAATGATAATAATTTGGATTTAAACTTGAACTTTATTCAGTATGATCCAAAATCAACAACCAAGCCCATAAACTCATCAGGAAAGTGTTTACTCTGGTCAGAGAGTAAAGGAGTCGAGGGCAATTTTAATGAACTTCTGTACAACATATGTACATATATGTAATAGCTTCCTGTCTGTGTGCTGGTAAGGCTTAAATTTGGCTCTGTGGCTGCATTAAATGACAATAATATGACTTGCTAAGTGGAACAGGCTTTTCAGAAGTTTGTGCCTCAGTCTTTGTGAATAAAATTATAGTGTGGGTTTAATATGTTATGTAGAACTAACTAGCAGTGTTCCGTATCTTTGCAATATATGTGTACAGGCTATAGAAGCAGTTAGCTTATGAAGTAGCGCTCCACTCTCTTTTTCATATGTGATCACTTAGGACTTAAAAATAAATAAATAACATGGTAGCAGCCAAAATGCTAACATTGAGCTTTCAGTGTGAGGTCCTAAACCAATGGCTGATGTCATGGTGGCTGCATCCGTCTTCTAAATACAGTCTATGATCTTGGTGTATATTGTGAGTCTTGATAAGTATGGCCAGAAGCAGGACTACCTTTATCCATACTGGGGTTCATGATTGGCATTTTCTTATTGATACATACCAGGTCAAACGGAGTATAGGATATAAGGTGCAGGTCTCTGTGGTTATCAAACAGTCAAGTTTTCATCACTGACCTACTGCCCTGATCCACATAATAGTTTTCAGTGTTCGCTCTGACATCATGTGGATTCATAAGGATAGATTTAGGGGCATGCTGGTTAAGCTGATTTGCTGTACTGTGCAGGCATTTTATCTTTCAGCTTTTAAAAGTAGTAGAAACACTGGGTTAGACACGTGCTCTAAATGTTGCCTGCTAATGCCGTTGGCAACAAAAACTAAGTTGTGGCTGTCTTTGCTCTTCAGAGTAAGTGAATAAATGGGTTGGCTGTGCTGCAGTGAAGACAAGTGACGTTACTTTGCTGCACTTCGGTCTCTAACTTTGTTTATGTACACTAAAAAAGAAATGTGGATTACGTAACTGCTGCGGAGCTCACGTTTACAGAACCATACACCCACCCACCCACGCATGCATGCACACACACGCACACCGCAGCAGCAGTATGAAGTCAAGCGATAGAAGTGATGGCAGTAAAATGAGAGTGTGAAGATTGTGTGCTACAGTTTAACAGCGTTCCTGCAGTATATATTAGGGATTCCTGGTCATGGACAAGACTTTGTGATCTGGGATGTTTTGTGTCACTTACATACCAAATGGCCTTTAGAGAATCCTTCTTATAAATCTAAGAGGGTGCTTGTCCTGCCTCTTATCCCTAAGAGTCAGTCAAGAGAAAAAAAGAAAGCAGGTAAAACTGGGCCCTAACAGTTTGCAAGCTGTAGATGTTTGTGTAATATGTGTCAGGACGCTGAAGGCATTTTCCTTTAAAGTGACAAGATGTTGTTGTACAAAAATGTTGTTCCAGAGATTTATAGAATTGCTGTCAAGGGCCATTGAATCTGTTCTGGCAGCACGTGGTAGCAAAACTTCTTACTCCTAACACTCCTAACACTCTGTTTATTTTTTCTCTTTAATTTGATGCCAGTTTATTTAATGCTTTCTTACCATGACGGTCTCAAGGTGCATCATCCTGATGTAGTGGCTTACACATCCATCCTGGAGGAGACAGAAATCCCATTGGGGTTGTGTCAGGAAGGGCATCTGGTGTGAAAGTCTGCCAAAACAAACATTCAGCGTTACCTGCTGCGATAACTCTATGAATGAGGGATTAGCCGAAAATAGCTTTTAAGGTGCATTATCTTAACCACTTCAGGAAACAGAAGGAGGTGTCAGATTAATGAGATTAATGATTTCATGTACATAGTTAGGTCATAAGTGTTTATTTAATAGTTTGTTGAGTTGTCACAGCAAATATTTGGCAAATAGGCCAAATGAGAAACAGTCTTTCTTTCCGTGTAAAAAAGTTGAACTACATATTTAATCCTTGAGTTATCTTTATATGAGGAAAAAGAAGGCCAGTCTCATCAGGACATATCAGTTTTTTTCTGCACAATAAGGAAATGCTGCTGCAGGAAATGAAAGAACTGTCACAACTCTCTGGCTTTAAATTGTAAGAAACAAAACATGTAAAATAAGAGAAAAGGTCCTGATGCTCATTATACAATAGATAAAAGCTGTAAAACTTAGTCCAAACATATGCCTTTCATCACATTTCATCACATTTTCCAGAGCTGTCCACTGGGGCCAGATTGGAGCATTTGGCAGGCTGATTCTGAACCCCCCCAGGCCATATGTATGACACCCCTGTTTTAGGATAAAGGAAGGGTTCAAAAAAGCCAGAGAAAACAGTGCAGCCATGAGGATTATCAGCCTTACGGGCTTCATGCATTAAGATACGTGGGTTCAAAATATCTGTATCAGCCAATATTGGCCTTACTGACTGGTACCTCCTGCAAATTCTGGCTCAATACTCGAAGATCATGGGATAAAGGGATAAAAAATGATAAACATTTGGTTGCATGTCAGCGTATCGGTGTATCAAAGTATCTCTGGCGCTGGGAAAAAGAACTGAAGAAGCTTGAAAATCCTGCTGTAGACATTTTGGAGTGGATATGACCGACATGCTGGTGTGACAGTAGTAAACAGTGGCGTGTTGAGTTTTCTCTGATCACACAGCAACTGTGATCAGCTCCCATGAAAAGAAATGAGATGAGACAGAACAAAGTGAGTCACTGTGACAGACGAGCGTGCTGTGGAAGCACTCGTCTTTAAATGCACACATGCACACGCGTATTTATATAAATCAGCTAAAGTGCACACAGAAGCAGTGTGTCAGAGTCGACAGAAGTGCAAGGACTCACACTGTGCTTCCTCCTAGTTTCATATCAGCAGCCGCGCAAGTCTCGGCTTGTAGTGAAACACAAGCTGGAGCCGCTTTCCTTACAGCCTCCTCCCACTAATGGCTTCTCTCAAACTAAGAGGTGGCTTTTTGTTGGAAAAGAGCTACTTTTAGAGTGTTTACAGTCACTCGGGTGAACCACGCTGAAAGGCGGGCTGAAGAAACACAGAAAGATGGCAGGTTTTAACTCCTTTCTGCAGTTGCTGTTTTGGGCCTGCTTCTCAAACCTCTATTTAATACTTAATCACACCTGATTCATACAACACACAGATGAAGAAGAGATTTGAAACATCACATCATAAAGCATCATTATAATTTTGTATGGTGCTGAAAAAGTGTAAGGCACATTTTCAAAAGCTTCCTCGTGGAAGATGTTGCACATGGTTGTGATCAAGGAAGAGGGACTGAAACAGTTATAAAGGATAAAGAAAAAGAACACTGAGAACGAGACCGATGTTGATTGTTAACAGGGTAAAATGTGGTATATCTAATTGAACGTGAGATAAGATTTATTAATATGACACACTCAGGGAGGGGCTGCATATGTGTGGTTGCAGGTATTTATTTTAGGGTAGATTATATCACTTGTGTCCAGGAACTGAAAGGTGAAGGAAGGTGATTTTCAAACCAAACCAACCAGTCAGTCTGCTTTCAAATGTGGTGGGATCAACA